TGTGTGTGTGTGTGTGTGTGTGTGTGTGTGTGTGTGTGTGAGTCTGTTATGTGACACTGCTGTTCAGCACATGTGGAGATCTTTTTAAAGGCTGTGATGTCAGAGGTGGGCGGGGCCAGGACGCTTCAGGGACACAGCTGAGAGCGTGTCTCAACCTCTCGTGTCCCCCTCCAGGACAGAACGGGACGTCTCCGCCTGGTCCTCGGAGCGCCTCCGTCAGCTTCTGCTCAGCGTTCGGGTGGAGGGTCCGGAGGGGCTCTGTCAGCTGACTGACGTCACCAAACTGGAGGGAGAAGCTTCCATCAACAACAGGAAAGGAAAACTCTTCTACTTCTACGAGTGGCAGCTAAAAGCTAACTGGCTAGGTTGGTCATGTCGCCGATGATGTCATCGGTTACATGTTTTCCGGTCTTGACCTGTTCTGCGTCTGCAGGTACTTCCTGTAGTGGAGTGAAGTATAGAGGGACTCTTGACGTGGCCAACTTGTCGGACGAGAACGATGAGGACGACCTGGATGTGAGTCCTGGTCACAAACCGAGACGCCGACAGCTTCACYGACGGTGACGCTAACAAACATGCTTCTGTCCAGATCTCGGTGTCTCTCTGTAAGGACCAGCCCAGCACACCACTCCTGGACCTGATGAAGAGGTCTGGGACTAAAGAGGTCGGCAGAGTTCTGGGCGAGTACGTTCGTGAGCTTAAATCAGGTCAGTTATCCACTGTTCAACAGGTCCGCCCTGTTAGAGATGATCCCTGTGGTGATGACGACTTCTATAAACACAGATTTCAGTCAGGGGATGATCCTTCCCACCACCGACGGACAGAAGCTGCCTGCACCTGAGATGGCTAAGAAGAACCAAGTCAAAACCAACAAAACCCAGGTAGATTCCACCTGTGGTTCCAATCTGATCAACMCTAAAGGCTCCGACTATTAACCTGATTTTTTTTTTTAGGTTAGCACCAACGTGAAGTGCTCGACTGGCCCGGATCCCTGTCCCAAAGGTGTCCGGATCCAGACCTGCAGCTTCAGCTTGAAGGAGACGTTTCAAACATCTGCTGATGAGCTCTACAGGACCTTCGTCAACCAGGAGGTACCAATATTCAATTCAGTTTATTTACATAGTGCTGAGTCACAATAACTGTTGGCTCAGGGGTCTGCAACCTATGGCTCTGGGACCACATGTGGCTCTTTGGTCACTCTGCAGGGGCTCTTTGAAAATGTGACCAAATATAATATAATATTTTTTACACTTACAAAAGAAATCAATTTATATGCAAATGTGTGATCAATACTACTAATACAAAACAAACAAACAAAAACATGTCAGCTCATCGTAGCCTTTTGTCTAATAAACAATCCAGCTTCTTTCTATGATCTTTCTCTGAAATCCATAAAAATTACCTTTGAAGACTACATAATAATAAGAATTAGAAAAAAAACATGCCTAAACAGTTCAGTTTTCTCTTAAATCTCTTAAATTCCGTATAAACTACAGCAGGTAAAATAAGTATTGAATACGTCACCATTTTTCTCAGTAAATATATTACTAG